GAGTGCCAGGTGTGTGGTTGTGGGAGTGCCAGGTGTGTGGTTGTGGGAGTGCCAGGTGTGTGGTTGTGGGAGTGCCAGGTGTGTGGTTGTGGGTGTGCCAGGTGTGTGGTTGTGGGAGTGCCAGGTGTGTGGTTGTGGGGTGTGCCAGGTGTGTGGTTGTGGGAGTGCCAGGTGTGTGGTTGTGGGTGTGCCAGGTGTGTGGTTGTGGGAGTGCTAGGTGTGTGGTTGTGGGTGTGCCAGGTGTGTGGTTGTGGGAGTGCCAGGTGTGTGGTTGTGGGAGTGCCAGGTGTGTGGTTGTGGGTGTGCCAGGTGTGTGGTTGTGGGAGTGCCAGGTGTGTGGTTGTGGGTGTGCCAGGTGTGTGGTTGTGGGAGTGCCAGGTGTGTGGTTGTGGGTGTGCCAGGTGTGTGGTTGTGGGAGTGCCATCTGCATCAAGATGACGGGTCATCTTCATACAGATATCTTAATGGAACATTCCTTGTCATGTTGAGTCAGGGAAAGATTCACACCTTCCTCAGGGGTTAGTCCTTGTACCTCATGCGCTCTCTCTCTCTCTCTCTCTCTCTCTCTCTCTCTCTCTCTCTCTCTCTCTCTCTCTCTCTCTCTCTCTCTCTCTCTCTCTCTCTCTCTCTCTCTATCCTCTCCTCTCTCTCTCTCTCTCTCTCACTCTCTCTCTCTCTCTCTCTCTCTCTCTCTCTCTCTCTCTCTCTCTCTCTCTCTCTCTCTCTCTCTCTCTCTCTCTCTCTCTCTCTCTCTCTCTCTGTCTCTCTGTCTCTCTGTCTCTCACTCTCTCTCTCTCTCTCTCTCTCTCTCTCTCTCTCTCTCTCTCTCTCTCTCTCTCTCTCTCTCTCTCTCTCTCTCTCTCTCTCTCTCGGAAGATCGTCTGGGCAAGCCCCGTAGGCGACAGGTGTCTTCTCCATACACATAAGATGAAGAAATAACTGTGAAGTTTATCACAGGCAGAGAGAGAGAGAGAGAGAGAGAGAGAGAGAGAGAGAGAGAGAGAGAGAGAGAGAGAGAGAGAGAGAAGAGAGAGGAGAGAGAGAGAGAGAGAGAGAGAGATTTTCGGTACCTCCCGTAATTATAAGTTCATAATTGTTAAGTGTAGCTATAATTTAATTTGGTGATATTACTGCGCTTACCCAAACGTGGATGACTCTAGAAAACGGGGAACTGTTGGCTGAATCTCAATTTAATGGGGGTAAACTAATGGGGCACTTTATACTCTGTTTTACTATCTTTGTGTAAACTTTCAACCTTTGTAAACTTTGTAAACTTTGGTGAACTTTCTTCAAATAAAGTGAGAATTCGCCCGTCATTTAGGCTTTTGGCTTTGTCTGTCTGTCTGTCGTGTCTTGTGTTCAGGAAGTCGTTCACATCGGAAATAATGTTAGGTAGTATTAAAGGTCTAATTTTGCGATTAAGAAAATATCTGTATATATTAAAAAGTTGACTTTTTTTAGAGGTTATAAGTAAATTTAATATTCATGTGTCGCCTGTGTGTGTGTAGTGAACAGTGTGGGTGAACAGTGTGGGTGAACAGTGTGGTGAACAGTGTGGTGAACAGTGTGGTGAACAGTGTGTGGTGAACAGTGTGGGTGAACAGTGTGGTGAACAGTGTGGTGAACACTGTGGTGAACAGTGTGGTGAACTGTGTAGTGAACAGTGTGGTGAACAGTGTGGTGAACAGTGTGGGTGAACAGTGTGGGTGAACAGTGTGGTGAACAGTGTGTGGTGAACAGTGTGGGTGAACAGTGTGGTGAACAGTGTGGTGAACACTGTGGTGAACAGTGTGGTGAACTGTGTAGTGAACAGTGTGGTGAACAGTGTGGTGAACACTGTGGTGAACAGTGTGGTGAACAGTGTGGGTGAACAGTGTGGTGAACAGTGTGGTGAACACTGTGGTGAACAGTGTGGGTGAACAGTGTAGTGAACAGTGTGGGTGAACAGTGTGGTGAACAGTGTGGTGAACAGTGTGGTGAACAGTGTGGTGAACAGTGTGGTGAACAGTGTGGTGAACACTGTGGTGAACAGTGTGGGTGAACAGTGTGGTGAACACTGTGGTGAACACTGTGGTGAACACTGTGGTGAACAGTGTGGGTGAACAGTGTGGTGAACAGTGTGGTGAACAGTGTGGGTGAACAGTGTGGTGAACAGTGTGGTGAACAGTGTGGTGAACAGTGTGGGTGAACAGTGTGGGTGAACAGTGTGGTGAACAGTGTGGTGAACAGTGTAGTGAACAGTGTGGTGAACAGTGTGGTGAACAGTGTGGTGAACAGTGTGGGTGAACAGTGTGGGTGAACAGTGTGGTGAACAGTGTGGGTGAACAGTGTGGTGAACACTGTGGTGAACAGTGTGGTGAACAGTGTGGGTGAACAGTGTGGTGAACAGTGTGGTGAACACTGTGGTGAACAGTGTGGGTGAACAGTGTAGTGAACAGTGTGGGTGAACAGTGTGGTGAACAGTGTGGTGAACAGTGTGGTGAACACTGTGGTGAACAGTGTGGGTGAACAGTGTGGTGAACACTGTGGTGAACACTGTGGTGAACACTGTGGTGAACAGTGTGGGTGAACAGTGTAGTGAACAGTGTGGGTGAACAGTGTGGGTGAACAGTGTGGTGAACAGTGTGGTGAACAGTGTAGTGAACAGTGTGGGTGAACAGTGTGGGTGAACAGTGTGGTGAACAGTGTAGTGAACAGTGTGGTGAACAGTGTGGTGAACAGTGTGGTGAACAGTGTGGGTGAACAGTGTGGGTGAACAGTGTGGTGAACAGTGTGGGTGAACAGTGTGGTGAACACTGTGGTGAACAGTGTGGTGAACAGTGTGGGTGAACAGTGTGGTGAACACTGTGGTGAACAGTGTGGTGAACAGTGTGGTGAACAGTGTGGTGAACAGTGTAGTGAACAGTGTGGTGAACACTGTGGTGAACAGTGTGGTGAACAGTGTGGGTGAACAGTGTGGGTGAACAGTGTGGTGAACAGTGTGGGTGAACAGTGTGGGTAAACAGTGTGGTGAACAATGGGTGGAGTAAGGACAAGAGTTTACACTCTACCCTACTTGTTACTTGAGTGTGTCAGGTGTGAGGGTGTCAGGTGTGAGTGTGTCAGGTGTGAGGGTGTCACATGTGAGGGGTGTCAGGTGTGAGGGTGTCAGGTGTGAGGGGTGTCAGGTGTGAGGGGTGTCAGGTGTGAGTGTGTCAGGTGTGAGTGTGTCAGGTGTGAGGGGTGTCAGGTGTGAGGGTGTCAGGTGTGAGGGTGTCAGGTGTGAGGGTGTCAGGTGTGAGGGTGTCAGGTGTGAGGGTGTCAGGTGTGAGGGGTGTCAGGTGTGAGGGTGTCAGGTGTGATGGTGTCAGATGTGAGGGTGTCAGATGGGAGTGGTGTCAGGTGTGAGGATGTCAGGTGTGAGGGTGTCAGATGTGAGGGTGTCAGATGGGAGTGGTGTCAGGTGTGAGGGTGTCAGGTGTGAGGGTGTCAGATGGGAGGGGTGTCAGATGGGATGGGTGTCAGGTGTGAGGGTGTCAGATGTGAGGGGTGTCAGGTGTGAGGGTGTCAGGTGTGAGTGTAGCGATCATACAAGCCACATACGCGCGTGCAAAGTATACTGTATAAGGCAGTATAAGTCAGTAAGGTGCTCAGAGGTGCTGAGCACGAGGGGTCCGCCCAGGTGTCAGACGGGTGGGGGCGCAGGAGAGGACGTGAGCAGTGTACAACACAGCACCCTGAGTAATGTGCAAACACATCTTGAACACGTGTGTGTGCTCACCTATTTGTACTCACCTACTTGTGCTTGCAGGATCGAACATTGAATCTTGGATCCCGCCTTTCTAGCCATTGGTTGTTTACAGCAATGACTTCTGTCCATTTCCTTATCATATATAGTTTTAAAATTATGAATAGAGTTTGCTTCCACAACCTGCTCCTTAAGTGCATTCCATTTTTCCACTACTGTACTAAAAGAGTAAACTAAAAGAAAACTCTACTACTGAAAGAATACTTCCTAACATCTCTGTGACTCATCTGAGTTTCCAGCTTCCACCCATGTCCCCTCGTTCTGTTACTATTCAGTGTGAACATTTCGTCTATGTCCACTCTGCCAAACTCCCTGAGTATTTTATACGTTCCTATCATACTCCCCCCTCTCCCTTCTTTTTTCTAGTGTCGTAAGGCTCAGTTCCTTCAGGCGCTCTTCATATCTCATCCCTCGTAACTCTGGGACGAGCCTCGTCGCAAATTTCTGAACCTTTTCCAGTTTCCTTATATGTTTCTTCAGGTGGGGACTCATGATGGGGCGGCATACTCTAAGATTGGCCTCACGTAGGCAGTGTAAAGCGCCCTATATGCCTCCTCACTTAGGTTTCTAAATGATGTTCTAACTTTCGCCAGTGTAGAGTACGCTGCTGTCGTTATCCTATTTATATGTGCCTCAGGAGTTAGATTAGGTGTTACGTCCACACCCAGGTCTCTTTCTCGAGTCGTCACAGGTAGGCAGTTCCCCTTCATTGTGTACTGTCCCTTTGATCTCCTATCACCTATTCGCGTGTATTTGAAATAGAGTTGGTCCCAGCACCGATCCTTGAGGTCCTCCACTCGTTACTGTTCGCCAGTCCGACTTCTCGCCCCATACCATTACCCTCTGGCTCCTTCCTGTTAGGTAGTTCCTCACCCATGCTAGGGCCTTTCCGCTTACTCCCGCCTGCCTCTCAAGTTTGAACAGGAATCTCATGTGCGGTACTGTATCAAAGGCTTTTTGGCAGTCCAGAAATATGCAGTCAGCCCATTGTGTGTGTACTGGTGTGTAAGGATACCGTACCGCAGCCCGGTTTATCTCGGTAACTTAACCGGTAACTGGAAGTGGCGCTGACCACTCCCTGTGTTCCCAACACTTCACAAACCGGTCCTGTGTGTACGGTCTCCACGTGATCTCCATTGATGCTTTACTCACAGCGTCAACGAGTCCATCAAATTCGAGGGATTAAAACTAATATAATTGTTACTATTTATTTTTATTGAAAAGTGAGTGTGGGCAGCCGTGGAGGGCAGCCGTGGAGGGAAGCCGTGGAGGGCAGCCGTGGAGGGCAGCCGTGGAGGGCAGCCGTGGAGGGCAGCCGTGGAGGGCAGCCGTGGAGGGCAGCCGGGGAGGGCAGCCGTGGAGGGCGGCCGTGGAGGGCAGCCGGGGAGGGCAGCCGTGGAGGGCAGCCGGGGAGGGCAGTCGTGGAGGGCAGCCGTGGAGGGCAGCCGTGGAGGGCAGCCGTGGAGGGCAGCCGTGGAGGGCAGCCGGGGAGGGCAGCCGGGGAGGGCAGCCGGGGAGGGCAGCCGTGGAGGGCGGCCGTGGAGGGCAGCCGGGGAGGGCAGCCGTGGAGAGCAGCCGTGGAGGGCAGCCGGGGAGGGCAGCCGTGGAGGGCAGCCGGGGAGGGCAGCCGGGGAGGGCAGCCGTGGAGGGCAGCCGTGGAGGGCAGCCGTGGAGGGCAGCCGTGGAGGGCAGCCGTGGAGGGCAGCCGGGGAGGGCAGCCGTGGAGGGCAGCCGTGGAGGGCAGCCGGGGAGGGCAGCCGTGGAGGGCAGCCGTGGAGGGCAGCCGTGGAGGGCAGCCGTGGAGGGCAGCCGTGGAGGGCAGCCGTGGAGAGCAGCCGTGGAGGGCAGCCGTGGAGGGCAGCCGTGGAGGGCCGGGGAGGGCAGCCGTGGAGAGCAGCCGTGGAGGGCAGCCGTGGAGGGCAGCCGTGGAGGGCAGCCGTGGAGGGCAGCCGTGGAGGGCAGCCATGGAGGGCAGCCGTGGAGGGCAGCCGGGGAGGGCAGCCGTGGAGAGCAGCCGTGGAGGGCAGCCGTGGAGGGCAGCCGGGGAGGGCAGCCGTGGAGAGCAGCCGGGGAGGGCAGCCAGGCGCGGATGGCAGGGTGTCTCAACCTCTTAAAGAATACTGTACTCTTTTATAATTCTTAACTTCCTTTCTTAAGAGTACTTCTACTGAGAAGCTTCCAAAGGCCGCTACAATAAAGAATAAAATCCTGCCTAAGCCCCGAGTACCTACTTACTGCTAGGTGAACAGAGGCATCAGATGAAAGATAGGGCTCCCGAACGTTACTATCCTACCCTAGGAATCGAACCCAGGGGCTTCGTGAACCGAATGTTGGGTGAAAGTGTGCCAAATTTATTGAACTGATTGGTGCGCCATTAGACAGCGGGCACCATAAGCCCCATTAATATATGTGGTGATGTTGGAGCGGGTGTGCGTGCATGTGTGTGTTAAGTAGGGAGAGTCAGGTGTGTGGATGAGAGTGATGAATATACAGTTTAGTCATTGGTATGAACTAACATGTATCTTGTGAGTGATACAGGCGAGGCTGTATCTGTTCTACTGTGTGATACAGGCGGGGCTGTATCTGTTCTACTGTGTGATACAGGCGGGGCTGTATCTGTTCTACTGTGTGATACAGGCGAGGCTGTATCTGTTCTACTGTGTGATACAGGCGGGGCTGTATCTGTTCTACTGTGTGATACAGGCGGGGCTGTATCTGTTCTACTGTGTGATACAGGCGGGGCTGTATCTGTTCTACTGTGTGACCCCACACACACACACACACACACACACACACACACACACACACACACACACACACACACACACACACACATTCTCATTCCTCTCAATGTTTGCTGACGACGCCAAAATTATGAGAAGGATTAAGACAGAGGAGGACAGCTTGAGGCTTCAAGAAGACCCGGACAAGCTGCAGGAATGGTCGAACAAATGGTTGTTAGAGCTTAACCCAAGCAAATGTAATGTAATGAAGATAGGGGTAGAAAGCAGGAGACCAGATACAAGGTATCACTTGGGAGATGAAATACTTCAAGAGTCAGAGAGAGAGAAAGACTTGGGGGTTGATATTACGCCAGACCTGTCTCCTGAAGCTCATATCAAGAGGATAACATCAACAGCATATGCCAGGCTGGCTAACATAAGAACGGCCTTTAGAAACTTGTGTAAGGAATCTTTCAGAACATTGTATACCACATATGTCAGACCAATCCTGGAGTATGCGGTTCCAGCATGGAGTCCATATCTAGTCAAGGATAAGACTAAACTGGAAAAGGTTCAAAGGTTTGCCACCAGACTAGTACCCGAGCTGAGAAGTATGAGCTACGAGGAGAGACTACAGGAATTAAACCTCAATTTGCTTGAAGACAGAAGAGTTAGGGGGGACATGATCACCACATTCAAGATTCTCAAGGGAATCGACAGGGTTGATAAAGTCAGGCTATTTAACACATGGGGGCATACGCACAAGGGGACACAGGTGGAAACCGAGTGCCCAAATGAGCCACAGAGATGTTAGAAAGAACTTTTTTAATGTCAGAGTGGTTGACAAATGGAATGCATTAGGAAGTGATGTGGTGGAGGCTGACTCCATACACAGTTTCATGTGTAGATATGATAGAGCCCAATAGGCTCAGGAACCTGTACACCTGTTGATTGACGGTTGAGAGGCGAGACCAAAGAGCCAGAGCTCAACCCCCGCAAGCACAACTAGGTGTGTACACACACACACACAAACACACACACACACACACACACACACACACACACACACACACACACACACACACACACACACACGCGCGCGCGCGCACACGCACACACACACACCGTCGTCGACGACTCCACACACCACATCTTCCTTACCTCTAACATAGTGTGTTTGTAAAGTGCTTGAACGCATTGTCCGTAACCGACTCATGTATCGTATACAGGGGTACCTGTCGCCCCAACTGTGGGGAGCCATGCCTGGGCTCAATACACAACACTGTTTTGCTGAGTACTGCGCACATATTGAAGCTTCCCCTCAAACAGTCTTCATCGACCTAGCAGCAGCCTTTGACACAGCAAGCAGGGAGATCATACTGGAACAGCTTGCCGAGCTCGGAATACACGGCAAATTACTGAAATGGATAAAGGGCTATTTGTCTAATCGAACAACATATGTTTTGTATAATGGTGTTAAAAGCACAGAGAGCAAACACTTTGAACTGGGAACTCCACAAGGAGGGGTCCTCAGTCCCTTGTTGTTCAACGTTCTGATGCATAAACTTATTAAAGATCTTCCAACTAATAATGATGACACTGTCATTTGTTATGCTGATGATATATGTTTACAGGCTGCCTCCGAGCCTAGAATGTCAGTTCTGCTCGATGCTTTTGCTACTAGAGCTGAGGAATGTGGCCTCCTTATCTCTGTACAGAAAACTCGTGCCCTCAGTCCGTGTGGTATTCCACCACCCAATTATCATATAGATGGGCGAACACTTGAGAACTGCGAGTCTTACAGATACCTTGGTGTCCCCATTAACGACCCTGGGTACCTTTCTTCTCTCAAGAAGAGACTATGGGAGAGATTAAAGCCCTTGTGGGTCCTTGATGGTGTCAATAATGGAATTAAAGTGAGACTACAATGCTCTACATCTCACACTGTATACAGACAAAGAGCTGAAATCTCTTGAAACCTTGCAGAATGAAGCTATGCGTCTCATCTTTGGGGCTCCAAAGTCCACGAGAATAGTTAATATGAGAGCAGAGTTAAAATTACCAACCATAAGTGAGAGAACTGTGGCCAGTAACACAGCTTTTGGCGTGAATGCATAAACTTATTGAAGATCTTATTGAGAAAATTTCGATAGCACACGCAATTTCAAACTAAATTTTCTAATATGCTACACTTGCCAAGTGTAGCATACAAGAAAAGAATAAATTTGATTACGCATTTTTTTTGTTTTATAAGATAGCCAACTCCATCAAAATAATAAATATGTACCCTACTCAATGATTAATCAACCAATTAATTCATGGGATAAATGGAATCTATCAGCTGATTTCGTAGATGCATCCATGAAAGAGTGCGTCCACTCTACATTATAAGAACAGTTAACACTCTGCAGCATCACTGTGAGTACTCAGGTTACTGTGAGTACTCAGTAACGATTTGTATCAGTGCTATACCGACGATTCTGTACCTACGGGTTCGCCATAGCCTGTGCTTCTTGGAACTTTTTGTTCCAGGTAGCGAATCTTAAACAGCAACAACAACAACGGTTCTGTACAAGAAGGTGGACGATGTACCGGATGTACATGTAATATATTTAAACAATCTTCGCTCGTACATACAGCAATGAAGAGCGTCAATGATTGGGCCAGTACGACCCAAACCCAACTTGCGGGCCTCGTCACTATATGACGAGGCGGTGGGCTCATATATACTGTGTCACACAGTGTCACTCCCGGCATTGAACACACATAGTAGTAACACCCAGAAAATAATCAGAGACATTCGAAAGAACGTTTTAACTGCTAAAAATAATAGATTTAAAATTAAATTGCTTATGGGTGCCATCACATGTTGACATCTAAAAGCATGATACTGTTGATAGGCTTGCAAAGACAGCCTATAGTAGAACAGTAGTATAAATTAATATAGGTGTTTCGTTAGCAGTGAATTTAAACGAATGTCCGGTGGAAATCTTACTGATCTTTTAAATTTAAAAAGACCTGAAAGTTGTAGCATTAAATATTATGATGGATATCGTGAGGAGACATTCACATATGGGACTAATAGAACAAGAACCCGGCAATGTGATGTTATAGTGGCCAGAATACGCCTGGGATATAGACGTATCTGGCAGCTTTCTCAAAACCCAAATGTCGAGTACGCAATGTGTCAACTTTGTGAAAGTGTGAAAATACAGTGTGTCAACTTTGTGAAAGATGAAACATACTCCCTTGCAAATTATATTGTAGAATGTCAAATACTGACTTACTTTCGCCCCCCCCCTTCCCCCTCCGGGGCTGAAGTATGCTGAACTCTGTAAATACTGCATGAGTACTGGAACAGTTGATATATATACTGGACTTGTACCAAAGATTGATTATGTAATGCATCAGCCATGTATTATATGTGATGTAATTATAACTTGAGCTTGTAGAAGCATCTTAATCGCCCTCTGGTTTAGTATTTAATAACATACTAGTTTCTATAGCGACTATTTTACCTCTTGTCAAAGTAAGAGAGACTTAAATATGTATGTGTATATGTTTGCGCACATATGTGCTGGTGAGAATTGCATTTCACCTTTGTTACCGCACATTAATGCCATTCTGTGGTTGAGCACTGAATAACCACCTGTGCTATATGTAAGTGATATATCGAACCCTGATTATGCAGGACAGATATAAATGGATGCATCGCAAGTATATTGGTTAGCATTGTTAGAGCCCTGCAACACCTGTGGTTGAGTGCTTACTATAACTGTTCTACCAGCACGTGTCTCCCACACCCTCCGTACACCACATAAGAGAAACATGTATGTGTCGATTACTATTGTGAATGTTTAGCAACATATGTAATGTCCCCCCGCCCCAGGACGACGCCGTGCTACAAGACACCCACGGAAGGCAACGAGCTCTACAACCCCCGCTAATAATCCAGTACAACCCCAGAGTATCCACAGGAAATAACACTAAGATACACAAACTTCCTGTCGCTTCTCTCAGATTTTTTCCCTCCACGAGCTGATGAGGCGGCGGTGGCGACGCTCCGGGCAAGACGGTCCCAACGACCACCAGAACAGCTGGTGACGCGCGCTTTCCCTCGGGCCCGGTAATTGGCCGCTCGGGGCATGAAGGGCCATCCTGCGACTGCTGTAAAGCTCGGACTTGTCCTGGCAGACAAGGGCGAGTGAGCCTTGGCTGTGATGAGTGCGTCAGGTGAGGTAAGGGGTAACAGGCGGCAGGTCAGGGGTCCCGTGTGGCTCCTTGTTGGTACTGTTGCTGCGTCCTGTGCGTCACACCTGGCTCCTGCCGCCACACCTGGCTCCTGCCGCCACACCTGGCTCCTGCCGTCACACCTGGCTCCTGCCGCCACACTTGACTCCTGCCGCCACACCTGGCTCCAGCCGCCACACCTGGCTCCTGCCGTCACACCTGGCTCCTGCCACCACACTTGGCTCCTGCCACCACACCTGGCTCTTGCCGTCACACCTGGCTCCTGCCGCCACATTTGGCTCCTGTCGCCACACCTGGCTCCTGCCGCCACACCTGGCTCCTGCCGTCACACCTGGCTCCTGCCGTCACACCTGGCTCCTGCCACCACACCTGGCTCCTGCCGTCACACCTGGCTCCTGCCACCACACCTGGCTCCTGCCGTCACACCTGGCTCCTGCCACCACACCTGGCTCCTGCCACCACACCTGGCTCTTGCCGTCACACCTGGCTCCTGCCGCCACATTTGGCTCCTGCCGCCACACCTGGCTCCTGCCGCCACACCTGGCTCCTGCCGTCACACCTGGCTCCTGCCGTCACACCTGGCTCCTGCCACCACACCTGGCTCTTGCCGTCACACCTGGCTCCTGCCGCCACATTTGGCTCCTGCCGCCACACCTGGCTCCTGCCGCCACACCTGGCTCCTACCGTCACACCTGGCTCCTGCCGTCACACCTGGCTCCTGCCACCACACCTGGCTCCTGCCGTCACACCTGGCTCCTGCCGCCACACCTGGCTCCTGCCGTCACACCTGGCTCCTGTCGCCACACTTGGCTCCTGCCGCCACACCTGGCTCCTGCCGCCACACCTGGCTCCTGCCGCCACACCTGGCTCCTGCCGTCACACCTGGCTCCTGCCACCACACTTGGCTCCTGCCACCACACCTGGCTCCTGCCGTCACACCTGGCTCCTGCCGTCACACCTGGCTCCTGCCTTCACACCTGGCTCCTGCCGCCACACCTGGTTCCTGCCACCACACCTGGCTCCTGCCACCACACCTGGTTCCTGCCACCACACCTGGTTCCTGCCACCACACCTGGCTCCTGCCGCCACACCTGGTTTCTGCCACCACACCTGGCTCCTGCCACCACACCTGGCTCCTGCCGTTACACCTGGCTCCTGCCGTCACACCTGGCTCCTGCCATCACACCTGGCTCCTGCCGCCACACCTGGCTCCTGCCGCCACACTTGGCTCCTGCCGTCACACCTGGCTCCTGCCGTCACACCTGGCTCCTGCCACCACACCTGGCTCCTGCCACCACACCTGGCTCCTGCCATCACACCTGGCTCCTGCCGCCACACCTGGCTCCTGCCACCACACCTGGCTCCTGCCGTCACACCTGGCTCCTGCCACCACACCTGGCTCCTGCCACCACACCTGGCTCCTGCCATCACACCTGGCTCCTGCCGCCACACCTGGTTCCTGCCGCCACACCTGGCTCCTGCCGCCACACCTGGTTCCTGCCACCACACCTGGCTCCTGCCGTCACACCTGGCTCCTGCCGTCACACCTGGCTCCTGCCGCCACACCTGGCTCCTGCCACCACACCTGGCTCCTGCCACCACACCTGGCTCCTGCCATCACACCTGGCTCCTGCCACCACACCTGGCTCCTGCCGTCACACCTGGCTCCTGCCGTCACACCTGGCTCCTGCCGTCACACCTGGCTCCTGCCGTCACACCTGGCTCCTGCCACCACACCTGGCTCCTGCCACCACACCTGGCTCCTGCCGCCACACCTGGCTCCTGCACCACACCTGGATCCTGCCGCCTCACCTGGTTCCTGCCACCACATCTGGCTCCTGCTACCACACCTGGCTCCTGCCACCACACCTGGCTCCTGCCGCCACACCTGGCTCCTACCGCCACACCTGGCTCCTACCGTCACACCTGGCTCATGCCACCACACCTGGCTCCTACCGTCACACCTGGCTCCTGCCGTCACACCTGGCTCCTGCCACCATACCTGGCTCCTGCCGTCACACCTGGCTCCTGCCGCCACATCTGGTTCCTGCCACCACACCTGGCTCCTGCTACCACACCTGGCTCCTGCCACCACACCTGGCTCCTGCCGCCACACCTGGCTCCTACCGCAACACCTGGCTCCTACCGTCACACCTGGCTCCTACCGTCACACATGGCTCCTGCCGTCACACCTGGCTCCTGCCACCACACCTGGCTCCTGCCGTCACACCTGGCTCCTGCCGCCACACCTGGCTCCTGCCGTCACACCTGGCTCCTGCCGCCACACCTGGCTCCTGTCACCACACCTGGCTCCTGCCGCCACACCTGGCTCCTGCCGTCACACCTGGTTCCTGCCGCCACACCTGGCTCCTGCCACCACACCTGGCTCCTGCCGCCACACCTGGCCCCTGCGACCACACCTGATGGGTGAGTTACCACTAAGTGCAAGTGAACCACCATTAGGTGCAAATGAGGCACCTTTAAGTGCAGGTGTGGCACCATTAAGTGCAGGTGAGACACCATTAAGTGCAGGTGTGGCACCATTAAGTGCAGGTGTGGCACCATTAAGTGCAGGTGTGGCACCATTAAGTGCAGGTGTAGCACCATTAAGTGCAGGTAAGTCACCATTAAGTGCAGGTGAGTCACCATTAAGCGCAGGTGTGGCACCATTAAGTGCAGGTGTGGCACCATTAAGTGCAGGTGTGGCACCATTAAGTGCAGGTGAGACACCATTAAGTGCAGGTGTGGCACCATTAAGTGCAGGTGTGGCACCATTAAGTGCAGGTGTAGCACCATTATGTGCAGGTGAGTCACCATTAAGTGCAGGTGAGGCACCATTAAGTGCAGGTGTGGCACCATTAAGTGCAGGTAAGTCACCATTAAGTGCAGGTGTGGCACCATTAAGTGCAGGTGAGGCACCATTAAGTGCAGGTGTGGCACCATTAAGTGCAGGTGTGGCACCATTAAGTGCAGGTGTGGCACCATTAAGTGCAGGTGAGGCACCAATAAGTGCAGGTGTGGCACCATTATGTGCAGGTGTGGCACCATTAAGTGCAGGTGAGGCACCATTAAGTGCAGGTGTGGCACCATTATGTGCAGGTGAGGCACCAATAAGTGCAGGTGTGGCACCATTATGTGCAGGTGAGGCACCATTAAGTGCAGGTGTGGCACCATTAAGTGCAGGTGTGGCACCATTAAGTGCAGGTGAGGCACCATTAAGTGCAGGTGTGGCACCATTATGTGCAGGTGTGGCACCATTAAGTGCAGGTGAGGCACCATTAAGTGCAGGTGTGGCACCATTATGTGCAGGTGAGGCACCATTAAGTGCAGGTGTGGCACCATTATGTGCAGGTGAGGCACCATTAAGTGCAGGTGTGGCACCATTAAGTGCAGGTGAGTCATCACTAAGTGTAGGTGAGACACCATTAAGTGCAGGTGTGGCACCATTATGTGCAGGTGTGGCACCATTAAGTGCAGGTGAGACACCATTAAGTGCAGGTGTGGCACCATTATGTGCAGGTGAGTCACCATTAAGTACAGGTGAGTCACCGTTAAGTGCAGGTGGGACACCATTAAGTGCAGGTAAGTCACCATTAAGTGCAGGTGTGGCACCATTAAGTGCAGGTGTGGCACCATTAAGTGCAGGTGAGTCACCGTTAAGTGCAGGTGAGGCACCATTAAGTGCAAGTGGGACACCATTAAGTGCAGGTGTGGCAGCAGCTTAAGAGTTGTCTCCCTTGACCGTGAGGGAGGAACGAGCCGCCCCCACACCTGTTGTATAGGGGCTGCGGGTGGCTCCTCCCTCCCCCCACCCACACCTGCCTCCCACACTCACACCTATCTCCCCCACCCTCCCAAACCCACGTCTTTCTCCCCAACCCACACCTACAACTCCCTCCCCCACCCACACCTGCCTCCCCACCCACACCTCCCTTCCCCACCCACACCTGCCTCCCACACCCACGTCTCTCTCCCCAACCCACCCACACCTGCCTCCCCCACCCACACCTCCCTCCCCCACCCACACCTGCCTCCCCCACCCACACCTCCCTCCCCCACCCACACCCACGTCTCTCTCCCCAACTCATACCTTTTCCCCCAGCCATAAAACTATTCTATATATATAGGGGGAAAAAGGTAGCGCCTTTGTTTAGGAGTTGTAAAGTGTTGTGCGCGCAGGAGCATGTGCACGATGATGAGAAATGTTTGCATCTGATGTCGTTGGTCTCACGCCGCTTCTCACCTGTCGTGCGGGCCGCACGCGCCCAACTCCTGGCTGCTGATTGGTGGAGGTGGATCATAACAGCGCTCCCATTGGTCGAGCTCTCGTGCTGGGAGGACGAGATGCGCGCTTTATGTTCTGATTAACCAATCACGGGATAACTTCCCGGGCTCACGTGCCGGCCTTCCTCGCGGGTTTTCACACGTTTTCATCCGATTCCATTTGTGGGCGCCTCGCTGTTTCGTTACGTATTTTGATATTTTCTTCGCTATCATAACACAATGTGTTTAAGTACATATGTAATGTTTAACGTCGTCACTTAGAAATGCAATTTGAGCGAGAACAGACGATGTATAAACGTTTTATTTTTTGTGATCACTAAGCGTGGCAGCTTCGTACACCTGGCAGGGGAGCAGTGTTGTGGTGGAGGTAGACCCAGAGTGTCTAAATGGTTGAGGTACACATGGTGGTCACTGGCCAGACAGACAAGTCGGTGTCTTCACCATCTAGTCAACAGTCCCCATGCAGTGTGCTACACCGCTAATACAGTGAACTTTAGTGAACAGTGCGTGGCCTGTCGACAAAGTGAAAATGTATAAGGACATATCTCCCCAAACCAAAGGTGGGTGGCAGTTCCTGCCTTCTGAAGATGTAGAATGTCTGCTATTGTTTGCTGTCTGATGTTAGCATGTTGTTTATATCTAGGATGATGGTGAAGAGTAGTGACAGCTTCCCACTTGCCTCCACCAACCTCTCATAACGTCACGGAAACAAAGCTTGAAGTTGTGGCTGCTTTTAGTTGTCTGCAATAATAACATTCCGCTCGTATGGTGTTATTGCAAGCCTGCTATGCAAGATGGCTCGACCTTATCACAACAACGAGACACGGAGATGTCAGCAGTCACATATTAGCGAGGTGTCAAGCGAAGCAGGTGTAGTTGTGAGTTCAACACGTGTAGCGAGCAGTAACACGTTCAACACGTGTAGGGGGCAGTAACACGTGAAGCGAGTAGTAACACGTGTAGCGAGCAGTAACACGTTCAACACGTGTAGGGGGCAGTAACACGTGAAGCGAGTAGTAACACGTGTAGCGAGCAGTAACACGTGTTCCTCTGAACAGTGGTTCTCCACCTCGATGGGTGATCACTCTCCAGAGCTCCTAGCTATCGTATCTGATCTTGCCGTGAGTGGACAGCAACATATGCAACATACCCATCAGTGGCAACATAAACTGGCTGAGGTCGTTCATCCTGTCACTTGTACCTGCTGATGCAGCTGCCACTCGACAGTTAACTGCCTCAAGTGAACGGGCTCTCAAAAGAGGCAAGCAAGTGTTGCCACACTGAACGTACAGGTGTTGTGCATTCCAGTTTGTTATGTGCACGTGTGTATACACATGCAAGGTGGAGGGGGGGGCCAGGTGTATACACACCTGTGGACGGTGGCAGGCGTCCGTCAGCACCCGCAGTGATCTTCTCTCTCTGATCTTTAGTTAGTTAACCTTTAATTTGCTGCAACCTTGACTGTGTTCTACACATTGTGTAGTGTGTATCTCTGTGGAGATGTGTATACTGAGATGTGTATCTGTCTGGATATGTGTATACTGAGATGTGTATCTGTCTGGATATGTGTATACTGAGATGTGGATATGTGTATACTGAGATGTGTATCTGTGTCGATATGTGTATACTGAGATGTGTATCTGTGGATATTTGTATACTGAGATGTGTATCTCTGTGGATATGTGTATACTGAGATGTGTATCTCTGTGGATATGTGTATACTGAGATGTGTATCTCTGTGGATATGTGTATACTGAGATGTGTATCTCTGTGGATATGTGTATACTGAGATGTGTATCTCTGTGGATATGTGTATACTGAGATGTGTACCTGTGTGGATATGTAGGCTCTATCATATCTACATTTGAAACTGTGTATGGAGTCAGCCTCCACCACATCACTGCCTAATGCATTCAATCTGTTAACTACTCTGACACTGAAAAAGTTCTTTCCGACGTCCCTGTGGCTCATGTGGGTACTCAGTTTCCCCCTGTGTCCCCTTCTTCGTGTTTCACACATACAGAAGATTTGGTCTTTGTCTACCCTGTCAATTCCCCTGGAAATTTTGTAGGAGGATTTCACCTCCAAGATGGTACATAGTGTTCAGCCTCCTGCTCCCATCGCCTAATTTCATTACACTTTCCTGAGTTAAACTTTAGTAGCCATTTTCTGGACCCTTCTCCATGTCGTCCTGTAGTCTCTGTCTTGATTCGTCTCATAATTTTTGCTGTGTATATATGTATACTGAGATGTGTACCTGTGTGTATACATGTATACTGAGATGTGTACCTGTGTGTATATATGTATACTGAGATGTGTACCTGTGTGTGTATATGTTTACTGAGATGTGTACCTGTGTGTGTATATGTTTACTGAGATGTGTACCTGTGTGTGTATATGTTTACTGAGATGTGTACCTGTGTGTGTATATGTTTACTGAGATGTGTACCTGTGTGTATACATGTATACTGAGATGTGTGCCTGTGTGTGTATATGTTTACTGAGATGTGTACCTGTGTGGATATATGTATATTGAGATGTGTACATGTGTGGATATATGTATACTGAGATATGTACCTGTGTGTATATATGTATACTGAGATGTGTGCCTGTGAGGATATATGTATACTGAGATGTGTACCTGTGTGTGTATATGTATACTGAGATGTGTACCTATGTGTGTATATGTATACTAAGATGTGTACCTGTGTGTATATATATATGTACTGAGATGTGTACCTGTGTGTATATATATATGTACTGAGATGTGTACCTGTGTGTATATATATATATATATATATATATATGTACTGAGATGTGTACCTGTGTGTATATATATATATATGTACTGAGATGTGTACCTGTGTGGATATATGTATACTGAGATGTGTACCTTTGTGTATATATGTATACTGAAATGTGTACCTGTGTGGATATATGTATACTGAGATGTGTACCTGTGTGGATATATGTATACTGAGATGTGTACCTGTGTGTATATATGTATACTGAGATGTGTACCTGTGTGGATATATGTATACTGAGATGTGTACCTGTGTGGATATATGTATACTGAGATGTGTACCTGTGTGGATATATGTATACTGAGATGTGTACCTGTGTGGATATATGTATACTGAGATGTGTACCTGTGTGGATATATGTATACTGAGATGTGTACCTGTGTGGATATATGTATACTGAGATGTGTACCTGTGTGGATATATAATATGGCTTCCAAGATATACTCACCTATTTAGAAAAATATTAAATACATTCATTGCACACACAGGTGCACGCGTGTGCAGGCGACCCCTGACCATCTTGCGTGCACCGGTGCACACCTGTCTACGTATTGGCCAATATGAACACTAATCAGCAGGGAGACAGCGGCTTGTCCTCCTTCGTAACTCAAACACTTGTACAAGTGTGTGTTGACTGCCTGTGGTGCTTCACCGTGAAGGCGGTAATCTTAGAGTGGGGCTGTTGCCGAGTCCTGGTCGTCTTCTGTATACACTCCAGCTCCTGGGCCCCCGCCTCTTACCCATTAATGATAGGCAGATTCCTCTTAAATATCTTGTATGTTGTGACCATTTCCGCATGCAGGGATGTCCACCTCTCTTCCATGTATAATTCCTTTTGTCAGGGACAGAGAGCCTGTGCATATATATATATATATATATATATATATATATATATATATATATATATATATATATATATATATATATATATACATATCGCTCACGGTGGAACTAAGGACCTTACCCAGGAGACAACCACAAAAGTTGCCTAACTCCCGGGTAGCTGTTTACTGCTAGGTGAACAGGCGCATTAGGTGAAAGAAATCGTGCCCAACCATTTTTGTCTCGCTTGTCTCCATTGTTTGATCCTGTGGGATTTGAACACAAGATCCCGGACTGTGAGTCGAGAACATGACAGTCAGATGTGTACCTGTGTTGATGTTAATACAGTCAGATGTGTACCTGTGTTGATGTTAATATAGTCAGATGTGTACCTGTGTTGATGTTAATATAGTCAGATGTGTATCTGATATGATGTGTGTGGATGTTAAGGTATATTCATTATACTATAATGTCCACCTGTGAGAATAGGGTGTAATGCATATTGATAGAAATACTCAGTGGTGTATTGTGATGATTGTAGTACACAGTCCCAGGTGTGTGTGTGTGTGTGTGTGTGTGTGTGTGTGTGTGTGTGTGTACTCACCTGTTTGTGTCTGCAGGATCGAGCATTGACTCTTGGATCCCGCCTTTCGAGCATCGGTTGTTTACAGCAATGACTCCGGTCCCATTTCCCTATCATACCTGGTTTTAAAATTATGAATAGAATTTGCTTCCACAACCTGTTTCTTAAGTGCATTCCATTTTTCCACTACTCTCACGCTAAAAGAAAACTTCCTAACATCTCTGTGACTCATCTGAGTTTCCAGCTTCCACCCATGTCCCCTCGTTCTGTTACTATTCCATGTGAACATTTCGTCTATGTCCACTCTGTCAATCCTCCTGAATATTTTATACGTTCCTATCATATCCCCCCTCACCCTTCTTCTTTCTAGTGTCGTAAGGTTCAGTTCCTTCAGGCGCTCTTCATATTCCATCCCTCGTAACGCTGGGATGAGTCTCGTTGCAAACTATTGAAATAAATTCAGTGTGTGCAACCAGTGTGCAGTCAGTTCAGTGTGTGTGTGTTGCAGTGTGTGTGCAACCAGTTCTCCTGAAATAATAGTACTTATAGGATCTATTTGGTGACAAGTAGCAACATGTAGTGATGGACCGAAGCACTTCTTGTACTCTTCATTATATGGACTCCGGAAGAAATAAAGCTAAAACCCAAACTTAGATATTGCTAGGCCTAGTACAGGACTGATTAGGTCTTTTTTTCCCCTGCGGCTCTGTAAGTAGTCCCCGGCTGCTGTTCCCAGTTCAGTAATACAAAAGTCATCTTTCTGGTGGTCCATATTGGGACTCTCCACCACTTACTCTAAGTGGTGGAGAGTCTCGAGGTAGAGAGTGTACTAAAATGACTGGTGCTCTCATTTTAAGATCAAAATGATTTATTAAACAAATTTCTAAAGGCAGTTCATACATTTTACGACCTGACACATGAAAGCCTGCTGACGACGGCCTCACGGCACTGGCTCCTCAACCCCTAAAATCTTGTTCTCTATATGATTCGTGAAGGATTTGACCTGCCATTTGGTACCTTGTGCCCCCTCCTCCTCCTCCTCCCCTTGTTGCATTTACTTCATTTAAACTCAAGTAGCCATTTGCTGGACCATTCGTTCAGTCTGTCCAGGTCATCCTGTAGCCTCTTGCTGTCTTCCTCTTGAGTCATTCCCACAGTGTTCGTATCATCAGCAAACATGGAGAGGAATGAGTCTATTGTCTGGAAGATCATTTACGTATATGAGAAACAGGAGAGGTCTAGGCGCGTTCCGAACCCTGTGGGACTCCGCAGGTGACATCTCTCCAGTCTGTGATCTCGTCCCTCACGGTAACTGACGTCTCTCACGGTAACTCACGCCCCTCAAGGTAAC